CTACGGGACGGAAGTCGTTTTCGAGATTTTTGGACACGGGACGGAAGTCGTTCCTGTTTTGACCGCGGGACGCAAGTCGTATGGTGCCAAATATCCGTACGCCTGGGAACACTGGTACTAATGCTGTCAAGACAAAATTACACTCCACGCACAGTCAAAGAATATTTTGATAAGTAAGATTATTCATTAAGGAAGTTGCACAAATCAAACCAAAGGACATGGACAAACCAAGGAGCAAGCTCAGAAACTCGGCGATTCAGTTTCTCTCACTGCAAGAGGTGGAACCATCAAAAGTACCACTAATGTTAAGTTGAAGGGGTGAATTGCTGATTTAAAGAGTGATAAGTCATATTGGGACTTTTTCGAAGAGATTTAAAGGAAAGAATTGGAAAATGCTCAACTATAAAATTGAACGTAAACAATCCGCCATTGTATCAAAGCTAACACACAAATGAAACAAGCGGTAAACCCAAGGGGCAAAAAGTACGTAAATAGATTTTGTTTTTTAAGGAAAATGGTGAAAAAGTTAGGAAATTCAAATTGGAAATTGAAGCTTTAAGATATAAAGAACTTTAGATAATTAATACAGTTTACTTAGAAATGGAGTTAAAGAAGGCAAAGTTATGGAAACTAGGAAAGAACAGGGTATTTTGTAGGAAAGGGTTGGTAGGTCTAGAATTGAATCGACGTATCGACATATTGAACAGCGACTATCGATAGTCTCGAAAAACCCGTGTAAAATACACACTAATACTATAAGCTGTTATGAGGGATCTTATGGAAATGCACACATACTTACATACAAAAAATCGCTCGATAGCCATAAAAATCCCCATTTAAACACGGCAAAACCCCACTAGCAATCGAGATTTTTGCATTGATGAAACGGCGAGGGTGATAGGAAAGTTATCCCCAGTTGATCACTGGGAGAATAACATTGCTACTAAACTGTGAACTGTCACTCTTTTTACAGTAGGATGAAGTTAAGCGACGGGGTTACAAAACACGTAGAAATTGCGAGAAAAAAAACAAAACGGAGGTAAAACCTTATGTTTCAAAAAACTAGGAGTATTAAGGAGTCCAAAAATAAATATCGTTGGGTCATTTGAAGGGGGGAAAAAACCCCCGGACTACCTAGACGTGGAATGACCCATATCATCGAAAACTAAAGTAGTGTCTGTATTTTTTTTTACCCTCAAACTGTTTTCGCATGAACTAAACAATTTCAGTTCTCATTTAAAGGCGCATTTTGTCCTGCTGCGTCACATGTAATATCCTTATGGTATAGTATTAATAATTCCACTTACGGAAAAGAAAAAAAATATGAAAGACAGAATGATAGACAGATTTATAACGTAGTCTCATACCTTTTTTGCACTTATTAAATACGAAACAATGTGGCAACCCTGTTAAAAAAGCGCACCCTCAGAAGCGCAGCAACTCAATTTAATAATACTATTACTATTCACTAGAAAGAATTTATTTACTGTACGATATCTAAGGTCATATATGTGAAACATGAACTTAATCCTATTTTATTGATGAGTCGACTTTATTTTTAACAAAATTACAAAAATGGGTTTCTCGCAGTTTCCCGCAGCAAAGCTGTGATGCAAATGAATGTTGAGGATTTAAAGAAAAAATATCTGGCCTTAAAACTCTAAAGAAACTTAAAGAAAAAACTGCAGACAGCTTTTTCGATGGAATTTTAAAGATTTTTTAGGCACATTTTCTAACAAGCTTTTTGGACAGTGAAAAGTTCGCAATGGAAAAAGTGTATACATCAAATGAAAGCTCTTTCTTAGGAGAAGAGGTCCTAGTGAACACATTTTCATCCTGCGCGACCGCTGAGCCGTGATAAGGCCTTGTGCGGTTGCAGTTCAGGACGCGTTTTTATATATTATCCGTATAGTGTGAGAGGTACCCAAGTTCCCTCCTCCAATACATCGCTGCTGGGCGATTATTCGATGAAATTTTGATGAATCCTCATCCCTTGGAGAGGCACTTTAACAAATTCCTCATCATCAATACAGTACTGGACACTCTTAAAGACGGTATTTTTCGCGTAAAACGGGCCTCCCTGGCACACAGTGCCCCCCCCCCCCCCCCNCCCCCTAGGATGTTCAATAAATGAAAAAAATTAACTTTCAATATGCCTCTATCTACTGTAATCATTTTATTTTGCTATTTTACTGAAACATTTCACCCTATGGACGATCAACTTTGTCACTCATGTTTCTTACATTTGACATCCGCGGTCGGAAACTTGAGGCCCGCAGTGACTCTCTTTTGAATTGAAATTTCCACGTTTCAAATTGTCAAACTATGTCGCTTCTCGCATTAATATAGGGTAAAATTTAATGACCTACAATATTAATAACTCGCCCCTCCTCCGCCCCCGGCTTAAACCTGATTGGTAACTTTCTGCTGTAAGTTCAACGGTTTAAGAGGAAAATCGGTCATTCTCGTGAAATCCGGGATTGATGTGAACCATCACTTTTTTCGTGATGAAATTTTCTGGCGTCCAATGTCATTAAATGATACTCAAAACAGAGTATCTTGGCGTAAAATTTCATCCTCTATAAATTTTGTTCAGTAACATTTGGCGATAAAACAATACCTACTTTGGGCGTAAAATGGAAATTTAGGAGTAAAACGGGCTTTTGGGAGTTTTTGAAGAAGTTTGGGGTGAAATTTTTACTGCTTTTTGGCGACTTTTATCTATTCGGATTCTACTCATATTTCTGTGTTTTTTATGAGCAAAAACCTTGTATTGCAATTTTATCCGGGTCAGACCAAATCTGGCCCCGACTAATACAAAAGAGAAGCGTTTGAAGGAAAACGAAGGAGTGATATCCACATTCGAGGATGGTTGAACTGCTGATTTATTTAAAAATGGCCCGGCCCGGTTTTATAAGTATTAAAAAAAACTAAATAACGGAGCCTGTTCATCTCTGTTGTTTACGATCAGCACATACAGCCGATTTCGAAAATCAAACAACCTAGAAGATTGCTGTATTAGTAACTTTTTTACAAGCACTCAAAGATTCAGAACGAGCCCGCCAGTCACTTTCCGGTAAACAACTCAGGCACTCGATACACTACATCGAGTTCGAGGGTCAAAACGATCGCAAAGGTGTTGCATTACGTATACGCGCCAAAAGAAAGAAATAAGGAAGAAAGAAAGTAGTAGTAGTGATGCACATTCATTTTAAAGCGGTGTTAAAGTATCTATGGTCATTTGCGTTTCTCTGATTGGAATACAATAGACAGGGATAGAGAGGGGGAGGGAGGAGGGGGAGGGAGAGAGGGAGAGAAAGAATGAGAGTAGTAGTAGTGATATAATTTTATTTTAAAGCGGTGCTTTAGCATCTAAGGCCATTTACACCTCTAAAGAAGGCGGTAATAGTAATAAATTTACATGGAAATTAAGGTTACATCAGTAAAAATACAAAAGGGTAGAGGGGAAAGGTTAAATTTTGAGATTAGTGGAGCGCATAAATTCAAAAAGTTTTACAGGATGAGTATTCAGAAGTAAATTTTTAAGAGAGGGTAAGGGGTAGGGAAAAAAACGTTTTCGGATTTCTTTATAAAGTGAACAACTTATAAGAACGTGATCTACCGTTAAGGGGGAATTTGGACAAGAAGTGCAAGCAGGACGGTTTGATTGGGTCATCAAATAGCTATGGGAAAAATTTGTGTGACCATTTCTCAGTCTAGTTTGGACTACTTGTTGAAGTCGAGTCAAATGAAAGTGTTCGGATGAAGGTGAAGTAGGCAATGCAGGGGGCATTTAGCATTGGTGAAATGCTGCCACTCAGTTACCCAATGGTGGAGAATTCTTCCTTTTATATCTAAAAAACAGATCTTTAGAGGTAACCGAGCCCTTCGGGATGGCCAATTGAAAGGCTAGACTCCCTGGCTGCAGAATCTACTCGACCATTACTCGGAATTTTAACGTGTCCTGGGCACCAACAAAACAGGATAGAGAAATTTTTAGATATAAGGGTGAAGACTAGATTCTGGATCTGGGTAAGGATTGGGTGAGGATTATTGGGGTCACCTAAAGCACTTAATACACTATATGAATCTGAACAAATAATTGATTGTTTACAGTCTGTATTATGGACATACTTTAAGGCTTCGGGGATAGCTAGAGCCTAGAGAGAGAAAGAAGGAAAGAAAGTAGTAGTAGTAAAATAATTTTATTTTAAAGCGGTGCTTTAGCATCTAAGGCCATTTACACCTAAAGAAAGAAAGAAAGAAAGAAAGAAAGAAAGAAAGAAAGAAAGAAAGAAAGAAAGAAAGAAAGAGAAAGAAAGAAAGAAAGTAGTAGTAGTAGTAAAATAATTTTATTTTGAAGCGGTGCTTTAGCATCTAAGGCCATTTACACCTCTAAAGAAGGCAGTAATAGTATTAATTTACATAGAAATTAAGGTTACATCAGTAAAAATACAAAAGAGTTGAGGGGAAAGGTTAAATTTTGAGATTAGTATAGTAGTAGTAAAATAATTTTATTTTAAAGCGGTGCTTTAGCATCTAAGGCCATTTACACCTCTAAAGAGGGCAGTAACAGTAATAAATTTACATGAAGAAAGAAAGAAAAAAAGAAAGAACGAACAAGAAAGTAGTGATAGTAGTAGTAACGTACATTTATTTGAAAGCAGTGCTTTAGCATCTAGGACAATTAATACCTCTGTGATTATATTAGAAAGGAAAGTAGTAGTAGTAGTAACATAATTTTATTTTAAAGCGGTGCTTTAGCATCTAAGGCCATTTACACCTCTAAAGAAGACAGTAACAGTAATAAATTTACATGGAAATATCAGCAAAAATACAAAAGGGTTGAGGGGAAAGGTTAAATTTTGAGATTAGTGGAGCGCATAAATTCAAAAAGTTTTACAGGATGAGTATTCAGAAGTAAATTTTTAAGAGAGGGTAAGGGGTAGGGAAAAAAACGTTTTCGGATAAGAGGTTTGTGATGAAAAAAAGGAGACGAATTTGGAATTTGGAAGCGCACAGCGGTCAGCATGATTTTGAAGAGTTTGATCTTTAATTTACTACGTATTACCTACCTGTATATTTTAAATGTGCTATCATACAATTCAGAAGTTCTTTAGGTACATATTAATCAAAACATTTAAAATGGTGCTTTGTCCCCCCCCCCCCGAGAAAATTCCAAGATCAAAGATAAAATGATTATCCATTGCAAAGGAATCAATATATTAAAACATGAAAATCACTAACTTCTCATGAAAACTGAAAAAATTGTTTTAGTTCCTTCCTTAAAAAAATGGAATTTTCTGGAACACTTAAAAAAATGTATCAACCAACAACTAAATAATGCATTAACTTATTATCGATGTATTAACTTGCAAATTATTTTTAATTACAGTTTGAAAATTGTAGAAAAACATTATGAAACGTTACCTAAAAGTCAATTGCAACAAGTTTCAGGGTAAACGGAAATCTCACAGCCTTTCCCGCTTCTTTCTAAGTTTCAACGTGACCTCGGTTTTCCTATGATACCTTCAACCAATTTGAGGGGCGGCTTCATTTTCAGGTGTGACGTAGAAAAGTACATTTCTTCGCTCGCCACCCCTCCAAAGACATAAAGCCGGAGCGCTAAAAGCAAAAAGTGATGCAGCTTTTCGACCACCTCTACTATTGGCTAAAGGATTGGCGGCAAAATCGGGACAAGTTTGAAATTCAAAGGGGCGGGAGGTGAATGAAATTGGGTAAACAAGGTATTCTAGGTTGATTATTGCGCAAATTCACTAACCCACGGATATTTTCTAACTTTAAGTTATTTCTGGTCTATCATCGACCGATTAACCTTATTTGGGAGTAACGGTCGTAGGGAGTAACGGCAGGACCACTACGAGCAACAGAAAAATGAACTTTATCTGTGATTACTGCCTGTTCCCGAGCAAAAGTAGGTGTATTATGAAAATTTACCGTCCCAAATTTCTTCATATATTCGTTTTAGGCATTTAAAACACGTTTAGAGGAGGAAATGTGGAAAAATCAAGAGGACAAATTCAAATCAAATTTCCGTTTCCCGCCCATGGATTCCCGGGCTCATTTCCACACTCACACAAGTGTCCAGCGCCAAACATGGCTTCACTTTTTCCCCGTGCTTTTTAGATACGAGCACTCCGTCTTTATATTTTTGCACCCCTCTCTGTATTTCCTCTATGCTCTTGTCTGACATAACCTAAAAGAGTATTCCGTTTTAGAAAGGGAGTGAAGATAATATTTGGAGGCAGTGTTATGTCCCCCAATGTAAGCGAATTCCGATGAACTCCGAATAAAGTAATCGCCGGTGGTAAAGTGTTCGGATGAATATGACCCGCACCCTTAACTTTCAGAGGTAATAATAAGATATCTGTAAACTTTGCAGCTAAGAAAATTTTAGGAATGTAATCTATTTTTACCGCGAATTTATATTTAATTGCATTAGCAGAGGTGTCATCAGCTAGTCTGAAGAACATTTTGAGAATCTTGTCCTCCTTCTTTGTTGAGCAGTTGCACCGTTTAACCCGAAGAGGAAACAAGAGCAGCAATTTGAATGGCGGGCAGAGTGGCATACACCTTACTTGTACGAGTTGTCTCTCATTGGCTAATCCGCCTGGTTTCCATTTTAGAGGCCCTTATGGTAAAATAACACGGGGACCGTTTTACATAGAAAATATCTCGAAAACGAGGAAAAATATACAAGTCGGAGATCTCGGACATTAATTCGTCAAATTTTTCTGAAGAGGTTGATGGGTAATGAATGACACTTTTTCTCAAACACACCGAGCAGTTCAACCTAAAATTTAGGGGTTTTTTTTCGTTTCGTCATACTTCACGTTGAAAAAAGAAAATTCCAGGTTGTACTCTTCCGTACATTTGAGGAAAAAGTGTCACGTATTACCGATCAGCCTCTTCAGAAAAATCTGAATAATTAATTCCTGAGCTCTCCGGCGCGTAAATTCCTTGATCTCGAGAAAGAGCTTTATGCGAAAACGGTTTTTTTTTGCCCCCTCTCCTCTCTGGAATTCCTCCAATTTTTGTCTCTTGATTACTCGTGCTTGAGCGCTCCTTCCCCCAAATTTTCAGACCCCCAAGAAATGTTGGGGGTGCTGGGGGGGGGGCTGGAAGTAAAAAACTGAGAGATATCGAGGTCCGGTTTCGATGAAAAATCGTCTAAAATTGCATAATTTAGGATTCTAAAGGTCAAAATCCCAAAATCACATTTTTAAGTTAACATGTGGGTTTTTTTTCAGTTTTTGAGTCCAGAAAATTCTAAACAAAGGATACACAAAGATCTCAATTTTTCATCTGAACCAAAACCAGTTTTTTTTAAACTGTTCGTCTTTCTCCGCATCCAACGAGTGGTCCATTGAGCTGGGGAACCAAAGGGCTCGAGAGTTATATTGGACGATTGTAGTTTCAACTACAACTCCGTACAGGCCCACTAAGCGACCGGTCGACGCTCGGTGGGCCTCTAAAGTAGCGCTTCGGAGCTGTAATTTCAAAAAAGTGATTACTTTGGAAGAATCTGTAATTTCTGAACTCAGCCACCCTCACTAATCCCTAAAAACTTATTTAGCACGGTTTAAACATTCAATCTGTTTTAATAACACCCCAATCCGGCTTTGGAACAGTAGTTTGACGCGCGAAAATCGGTCGGCACGCGTAGAGCGGACACTGCAATCGTCCATAACTCTCGAACCCTTTGGTCTCCCAGCTCAATAGACCACTCGTTTGATGCGGAAAAAGACGAACAATTAAAAAAACTGGCTTGATTCAGATAAAAAAATTGAGATCTTTGTGTATCCTTCGTTAGAAAGAAATTTTCTGGACACAAAAACTGAAATAAAGCATGTGCATTAACTTAAAAATGTGATTTTGGGATTTCGACCCTAAGAATCTCAAAATATGCAATTTCAGACGATTTTTCGTCAGAATTGGACCTCGATAACTTTATTCGTTGGAGAGATACTCAGGTTCAAAAGTTTTGACTTCCATCCCCCCCCCCTCACGCCCCCTAAAATTTTTTGGATGTCCGAATATTCTGGAAAAGAAGCGCTTGGGAGGAAATCATTAAACAAGATTTGAAGAAATTCCAAAGGAGGAAGGCGAAAAAAGCCGTTTTCGCATCAAGCTCTTTTCGATGAAAATTGAACCCCGAGTTATTTCCCATAAGGGCCTCGAAAAGGCACCACGCGGATCCAATCAGAGACAACTCGTAGAAGTAGGGGGTGCCACTCCGCCCGCCATTCAAATTGCTACAGTTATTTTCTCTTTGGTTCAACTGCCGCAGCGTTTTACTATTCTACCACTCTAGTGGCGGGTCGAAAGTAATAAGCGCTGCCTGGCGGTTGAGCGCTTAAAATGGGCACAGTAATGAAAATATTAATTATGGGGAAAAGTCGAGCACTAGATCTCCGGTATGTGGCGAAAGGTGTGGAAAAAGTCAAAAGTTTCAGTTCAAAGGAGCGCATAAATTCAAAAAGTTTTACTATGATATACTTTTTTTTTTACAATCGTGAAACTTACCGCAGGAAAATTCTCGTACCAAAACTGTTGAAAATGCTCTTTTTCTAATCAAAGCACCTGCAAATTTATGGTTCCTTCTTCTAGTTTCAGATTAAAGCAAGGGAACACCGATGTCCGTGGAAATCTTGAAAATCAGCGATTCAACGGCTGACCAGATAACTTTTAGCGAGGATGAATGGACCAAAGGAGCGTCTTGGAACGTCGCGTGTTTTTCTGTAAATTTAGCCGTCTATCTGTATAAAGGCTATCGGCACAGTGAAAAAGAAAAAAAAAAAAAAAAAGCAAAAAAAAAGCATTATAAGCTGGCAGGGACTGATGTTTCGAGGGTTGACCGCATATTTGTTAGTCTTTTGTACTTTTGTAATGAAATTTCATAAATTAAAACACCCTCAAAAAGCAAATTGACGTAAAAAACGTATGCAATATCTTGAATGTTCACGTTTGAAATGCATGGGGACTAACCAATTCTATCGCATAGGTCAGCTTAAGTAAGATGATGTGAAGAAAGTTAGTGTTTCAAACACTCGCAATTAGGGTCAAATGGATAGATAGTTCACTAGCAAACAAAATAAATAGAGAGTGATAACTTCTCAAACAAAAAAATTTGCATGTCCGATCAATTACATATGTTGTATATTATGATATTGTGTAGAATATACAGGGTGATCCAAAAGTCCCTTCCACCCCCTCTAACTTTTTACCTAATTGAGGTAAAGATTTGAAACTTGGGAAAAATTCCTGGGTCAAAGGGAGCTACCTTTTAGCCCCCTTAGAATTTTCAGAGGGCCCCCCTTGGCGGGCAACGGACCCCAACTTTTTTTTCAAACGGAAAGACCCCCTTCGCGACAGCTCGTTCGAGAGAGCACAAAAAAAGAAAACTTTTCACGTAAATCCGAAGTCAATTACTCAAACCGTTTCAAAGTGGCGGCAGGCTAAAGTTCAAAATGGCCAAAATTGCCACTTTGGTTTTTTCCTGATGGATTTACCTGAAACTTGGAACTTAGAGGTATTTAGGCATGAGATTAACTTTGGACTCAGATTTCTAAAAAAAAAAAAAAAAAAAAAAAAAAAAAAAAAACCCAATTCGGTCATTTTGAACTTTAACCGGCAGCCATTTTGGAAATTTCGGTTTTTGTGAAATCTAACGTCAAATTCGGTTTTCTCGAGTCAAAATACCGATTTTTGCGCAGTTCCATCAACAAATAACCGGTGTCAATTGTCGGCCATCTTTAACTTTAACCAGTCGCCATTTTGAAAAGGTTTGAAATAATGACTTCAGATTTACGCGAAAAGTTTTCTTTTTTTTTTTTTTCAAACGAGCTATCACGAAGAAGGTCTTTCCGTTTGAAAAAAGTAAGTTGGGGTCCGTTGCCTTTCAAGGAAGGTGGGGGGGGGGGCATGAAAGTTTTAGGGAGGCCAAAAAGTAGCTCCCTTTGACCCAGGAACATCCCCCAAAGTTTCAAATTTGTACCTCAATTAGGTAAACAGTTAGAGAGGGTGAAAGGGACTTTTGGATCACCCTGTATATCTGTTGATAAGCGCCAAAAGATTGGGACTAAGTACATATTCACCGATTCAAGCTAATATCAGGGAAAATTGTGCAGTGACCTCAATGCTTGGAATGTAATTCGGGAGGTTTAGGACTCCATCTCGTTTTCGTCGTTGGATAGTGGTTGGATACATACAAACATTCGTGGAATTCATTTCATAATTACCTTCAAGATTTTTATGGATAAAACACACAGTTTGTACCAGTCTCAATTAATATTAGGCATTGTAAGTGGCAGTTTTCACGATTTGACATTCAGTTATTTGAAAATAAATATTAAGATGCTTTGATCTACTTGGCAGGGCGGGATTGGCCGTGCCCCTAACCGTACGGGCCCCGGTATCCTGAGTGATATTATTTTTTATTACAGCTATCTTTAATTATTTACATCAGCGATAATTCGACTAGATCCCCTACAGGCATTTGGAATTTAAAAGACAGAGAGGTCCTAGGACTGGAATTTAGGGTGCCATGGAGTCCTTAAATTTTAATATTTTGTACTCACGATGACCAGTGGAGGCTGAGTGCATGAAGCTGAATTTTCGGTATTTTATGAAATTAGCTTTCAATGATCCTTAAATGAGACAGTTTCCATAGACCCTTTGGCTTTAAACTATCAGTATAATGAGCCCGAAGTTTCGGTGGGCTGATAAGAGCAAGTTTCTTGAGGGCCCCTGAGGTTTAAATTATTGATTTGGAGAAAACCTGAGACACACTTTCGGGGGTCATGGGGCCGCCAAACCTCAAGACCAAGATTTTACATGATGCACCATCTTCATCTGCGAACGAGTTTCTTTCGAATTAAAAATATATCAAAATCGACTTCAAGCTTCCATGTTAGAAGATCCTATTGAACCCAAATTTCTACTGTTACTTGAGAGGGCTCAACTGTTACTGTTACTCAGGGATCAGCGGATTTCCAAAGATAACGTAGTCAAAGGTATATTAACATACGGATGTGAAATTTGGCAGCTGAAGAAACGGGCACAGGATATGCTAAGAGTAACGGAGATGGATTTCTGGAGGAGGTCGGTAGGAATTTCTAGGAGAGATCGGGTCCGTAATGATAGAGTGCGTCAGATAGTGGAAGTCGAAAATGACATATTGTTCGACGTCATGACCAAACAACTTGTCCGGTACGGTCAATGGTCATGTTAGTAGGATGACGGAAGAGAGGCTGCCAAAAAAGATGCTTGATTGGGTTCCTCCTGGGAAGAGACGTAGGCACGTAGGGGACGCCCAGTGAGAGGTTGGCGACAGGGGGTGTTAAATGAGATGAGGGAGTGTCAACTCCCTGATGACCTGTGGGAAGACCGAGCTTTGTGGCGTTTAGATGTCGTAAAGCGCCAAAGAGCGCTATAAAAGTGACTCATATATAAACACTTGAGAGGGACTGCCATGGGCGGAAATGGGAGGAGGGCGGAGGGCCTGGCTCCCCTTGGAAATCTACTTGGCCCCTCTCAGGTAATGTTAAGGGTTTTACTAGCGAAGTTTGAGACAGTGACATAACTTTCAAATTGGAAATTGAATCAATTTTTGGCAAGGATAACTCAAAAATACTCCTGAGATGACTCAATTTCTCAAAAGTTTCCAAAGGAGGCCCCCCGGACCCCCCTGTAACGCTAGCAGATTTCCCCGAACTCTCCTTCAAACCTAGAAAGGTTCCGCGGACATAGACAAATAACACTTAATAATTTGTTTTCTGTGCCTCACGGGTTGTTGTTTCTTCGAAAGAATTCAAGAGTCCCTACATCTTTAGATACGTAGTTTATTTTCATGTCATGAAATGACATACTATGTGTGGCATCCCTAATTTGACAATGAGTGTTATTTTGATAAATTCACTGCCCTCGATCAAAATTATGGCGGGG